GAATTTAATTATCTATATAGTGAGTATATTTCTCTATTTGAAATTAAAGTTGGAGTTATTTAAAGATTTGGTTTACTGACAGATATCTTATTCTCTTTCAGGTTTATGTCTGTCTTCATGCTTAAGATTTGGTATTTCCAATAACTTGAACCAGTGTAACTGCTAGCAACAGTTGATTAGACTTTTACTGATTTTTCTTTGCCCCAGAAACATATCAGCCCATGTTTAAAGGATGCAAATCCAAATAATTCTTATCTTCATTGCCTAACATTATCTAGCTCCAGGATACTACTGGTCAGTCCTATGTGTTTCCTACCTAACATGTCCAAATCAAAGCCCAGTGCAATGTCATCTCCAGACTTTTCTTACTCCCAGTTTTAGGGAAAAAAATGTCTCTGAGGCTCCAACTTCCAGAATGTTGGAATAGCTTGATCATCAACAGATAATAATGATAAAATCTGGATTACTTGAAATTATTGGAGAATAAACAGAAGCAGGCAGAAACAATAAGAGTCTACCCTTGTAATAAAATATGTGAGATTTATGAGTTTATGGGTTTTTGTCTGAAAGCGTTCTCCAATCTCGGGGCAAGGATGCAAGCAGAAGCTATCAGAGCACTGAGTTTGATGCCAACAGAGCAACCAGAAAATTAAAAGGAAAATCCAGTTTAAAAAAAATTACTATACATGTGAAGAAACAGGAAAATGTGATAATTAAGGGGGAAAAAAAGTCAATAGAAACAGACTCTGAGATGACCCAGGTGTCACAATTAGCAGATAATGACTTTAAGCAGCCATTATAAATATGTTCAAGGACTTGAAGGTATACACATAATAAATGAACTTATAGGGAATTTAACCGATAAACAGAGCCTATACAAAAGACCAAATGGAAATTCCAGAGCTAAAGAGCTCAATAACTAAAATGGAAAATTTACTAGATGAGCTTAACAGCTATTGGAGACAACAGAGGAAAAAGTCAACGGACAAGAAGATAGATCAGTAGAAATTGTCCAGTCTGAAAGAAAGAAAAAAATTAAAATGCACATTGTAGGTAAAGGCAAGAATTAAAAGTAGAGCAGAATTGATGTGAAATGCTCCGTGGTAATAAATTCCAGTAATTAATTCTGTGAAGAAAAAAGTTGAAAAATTAAAAATTCCTGGATTTTGAATGTCTAATCCTTAGTGTTTCCTCCAAGAATGAGGGGGAACATATCATCTGATTTCAAAGCAGTGTGTTTTTGGTTAACTTTCCTAAGGTCGTTTCTTTCATGTGGCCATACATTTCTTAGCTTCCTGTCCTCGTCTTCCTCTTTCATTCCCTCATTCTTCCCAGTAGCTAATGGCCTTTTCCTTCTGGGTGCTACTTTTGGGAGCCAGTTAATAATGAAGTAGATGACTTCTGACAGTAGACTAAGACAAAGGAAGCCTGTGTGCTGGGACATTGTATAAGGATGCATTCTTAAGTCTTCTTTTGATGTATTCTCCTGTTGTGTGGCACTTTCACTATCATTTTCAAATTCTCAGGATTTCAAATCATGATGAATCATTTAGTTGTTTTTAAGCATCAGTCTTTCTTAAGAGTCTGTGAATACAGAATACCAAATGATATTTCAAAATAGGCTTATTTTAATTATTAGTTCCTCTAGACACAATTCTGTTTCTTTTGGTTTAAACTCTGCAGGTGTTTCACCAAAACCAACAGCACTTTCAGCAGCAGCCCTCTCCCTGTGGTCCCTGTAGTAGCACCTTATCCTCAGGATGGTTTGGAAATGAAGCCCCTCAGTCACATGAAGGTGCCTGTATGCCTGGCTTCCGCAGTCCCTGATTGTGGTCAGTTGCCTGAGGAGAGCATCAAGGACAATGTGGAACCAGTCCCTACTCAGCGTACCTGCTGTCAGGACATTGTAAATGACGTCAGCTCTGATCGCGCAGAAGATCCAGCAGAGTTCAGCAGAGGTCAGGAAGGCATGATCAACCTTGGGATTCCAGATCGTCTTCAGTTAGCTAAGAGCTGTGTATGGGAAGGTGATGCTTTCAGAGTTTCCTCTCTATTAGTTTACATAGTTCTTGGGAGACTGGGTGGGGTGCTGGGTCCTTCAAGAAAAGATAGGACTCAAGTTAAAGGATTCTTTGAAATTCTGTTATTACTCATGTCCTTCATCTCAGGCTGTCAATCCCATCACACTTGGGAAAATCTATTTGGAAATAGGCTTTGATTTCATTCATAGGGTAACAGAAGACGTGGTGGAAGAATGCATTTTGTGAACATGAGCCCCTTTTTGATTTGAGTCGGTTCTGGAGTGGTAACCTTTCTTTCAGATGGTTATTTTAGGGCTTTTAAGGGGTTGCTTTAATCCTCAGGTGAATTGTATAGCTACTCATGAGAGTTCAACTTTATTTAAACCTTCTGTCTCCCTCAAATTCAAACACAAACCAGGTTCTACTTGCGCTCGTTTTTCTTTCTTCATGGCTCAAAGTGTGAAGAAGTTTTTAGACTGCTTTGTAAAAATCCACCTTTATCATTTGATAATGCTCCCAAACCTTTCTGTGTTTCAGGAGACAGCTGTGCCCATTCAGAAACAGAGAACAACATTGTAAGTTGGAATGCTCTTATTTCGCCACCTGTCCCAGAGGGCTGTGCTGAAAAGACAACGTGGTCTCCGCCTGGCATTCCTTTAGACAGCCCGACAGAGGTCCTTCAGCAGCCCCAGGAAACCTGAGGATGTGCAAACAACCAGTCATTTTCTGACTTCAAGCCAGTAACTGCACAAAACAGGCCTGGGAGTGAACTGTGTGAAGGACCTTAATTCAAATCAGAGAAAATCATTATTTATTTTTTGTAGTAGTAATGTCATATGAATGTATCTTAAAATGTGTGCCCTTTTATATTATTTATGCCTTAAATGTTTTCTTCCCCATTCCTTCCTGCCCCTCAGTAGGAAACAACCTTGTTTTGCATAGTATTCAGTCACCTGGAGGGCCGAGGGGTCCTTCCATGTTTTCTAACAGCTACAGTGACAGCAAGAGCTCCTCATGCAAAGGATCCCATCTCTTGGCTGTTTTGGCTGAGAGGGAATGCAGGGGCCAATTGAAGGTTGCCACCAGCTGGGTTTTCAGGTAGAAAATGGTCTTTTAATAGTGTATTCTCAGACTTTTTTTTTTTTTTTTTTTGAGATGGAGTCTTGCTCTGTCATCCAGGCTGGAGTGCAATGGCTTGATCTTGGCTCACTGTGACATCTGCCTCGCGAGTTCAAGCAATTCTCCCGCCTCAGTCTCCCGAGTAGCTGGGACTACAGGCATACAGGCACCTGCCACCACACCCGGCTAATTGTTTTGTATTTTTAGTAGAGACAGGGTTTCACCATGTTGGTCAGGCTGGTTTTGAACTCCTGACCTCAAGTGATCCACTGGCCTCCGCCTCCCAAAGTGCTAGGATTACAGGCGTGAGCCACCATGCCCGGCCTGTATTACCAGACTTTCTGAGAACACTTTGAAGTCAACTGCAGTTGTGACCCATGTTTATAATAGCAGACCTGGCTGGCGAATTTTACAAGAGTGCCTTCCACAAAAGTGGTGATGTGACCTGTTGACTTTCTATCTGCACGTGGGCACAAGTGATGTTCAGTTTGCTAGGCACTAGTCATGGTGTTGTGGACATGGTGGAGTGTAAGGTCTTGATGAATTACGGCAGTATGCAGAAAAGAAACCAAGGCCAGAGAGACAAATAATGCCTAATGTCCCATTGCTTTAAAATTACATTAATTTATCAAATGGCTACTATGGGGCTCTCTTTGACCGTTTCTAGGAGTAGGAACAAAATAAGACATTAAGTGGTGGCTTGAAGAGAAAGATACACATTTTTAGAAGAAAGAAAGGGGAAGGCTGCAGGGAGCCCGTCTTGGTGGGAGCTCTCCAGTCTGTTGGATTAGCGTAGGAATATGCTCATGGTGCCCTGACGCTGAAACTAGTCATCCCCCGTCTCCAACATAGGCAGCAGCCTGCAGGGGTGAGTGTCAGAAAAGACTTACGTTGGAAGAAAAGAGTTTTTTGGGTTTTTTTTTTCTGAAATTTCCTGATACCTCTTTCAGAATGTCACCCTTGTAAACAGGCACCCAAAGCGTTGGTCAGCAGAGCTCCTGAGCACGGCTGCCTCTGCGTGACAAGGACATTTGCAGCTGCCTTTGGAAGGCTCTTCACATTAAAAAGCAATAATTATATCAGTGTGTTTCATAGCTTGAGTCAAGCTTTCAAGGATCACTGCTCCTTTTTGCATTATGCATCCGTTTGGGGAAAGAAACAGAAAATTATTCTCTTTATATAGAGTCAAGCAATTCCAGCAGAAGTGAAGAAATGTTAGTTTCCCAGAAATCGCAGTGAAATAGAATATAATACTATGTTAACCAACTTTCTGTATAAATGCATCAGTATTCCCTTACATATGTCTATATATTTTATAATAGAACTGTTAGTGAAAATGTGCTTGTTTAAGCTGGGTCACTATGCAAGAGTTACTTCCAGTAGAATGTAGTGAATGTAATTCCCTAGTCAGATATTAGGGATGCTGTAGACCCAAGTTCTACATTCCAGATGTCCGTGCCTTTAGTATACTGGATTTATTCTTCATGTTGCTTAGATGCAATTAGCTCTGGAGGGGGATAGCTGCATCCCTTATTTCTGGGACTAGCAAAGGACGAAGTCCCAGCACACAGAATATGAAAGCATACCCTGTGTTAGCCAATCAAGTTACAGCAGTGCTGTCACAAAGGGAGTTTTAGAAAACAGGCGAGTCAATGTCCATAGACAGCCATTTTGATTCAGGAAACAGGTGTATTAGCATGAGCCTTAGGTCATGAACTGCTTTTAAAGTTGAGTTTGAATATGGGATCTGTCCACGAGGAAGAGAAAATGGCTTTACCTTTAGGACAATCTCATTGTGGACTGCTTTATTTATATTATTAGTAACGCTGTTTTAAGTGTTATTCTTTTTATTGTATTTTATTTATAAAAAATGCCTTTATATATTGAAATATATAAATATATATATATACACACACACACATATATATATAAAATTGCCTTTATGTTTAGGCGGTATGAGTTCTCCCTAAGCGTGAGTTGGCTCTGAACTTTTCTGCCCTGCACAGGCACCCAAACAGTCCTACCTAATGTCACTTCACCAGGAAATGAGAGGGCATGGTACGGTGTGAGAGAGAGCACTAACACGTGTTGAATAACTGCTGTGTACCAGGCACTGTGCTCGGTGCTTGTTACTGTTAACTCATTTAACCCTCACAACACATCTACAAAGTTGGCATTAAAATCCCCAAGTCACCCAGTGAGCCATGGGACCTGAATCCGAACCCAGTTTATCTGGAGCCATAATCTGGGCTCCTCCCATTTTTCCATCCTGCTTTCCACAAGCATGGCGGTTCACTCTTTGGATAGAACCAGTCCCGTTCCGTATGCTGTGATCTGTCCCTGCTGTGCAATTCCTCCGAGGCTCCAGCTCCGCAGCTGAAGAAGCTGCCCTCTGGCCTCTGTGGGCAGAGCTCTGCTTATGACTTCGTCTTCCAGGAGTCCACATTTCTCCCCTTGATGCACCCGTCTGCCACCTCCACCTGGAAATTTGAGCTTTACTGTGCTCAGTGATCAGGAAATTGGTCAAGCCTCTTCATGTTCCTTCTCATCTAGAATTCTGTGTGATTGTTTTAGCGTTAAACTGCCCTGCTCCCACTGTATCATTTCACTATCTCCTTTTAATGTTTTCCTTTCAGTTTTGCACTGACAGTCTGGTGTCAGGTGCTGCCAGGGTGCAAGTGAAGTGGCAATGTTCTAAACCTTTGGAAGTGTTCTTAGCAAAAGCCTTTCTTTCTGGGTTTTGTTTTTGTCAAATGAGTCTATGAAGACTCAGTGCATCCATCTTGGGCTGAGCGTGCCACAGATCTCATTCCAGCTCCAGCGCTGCCAGGACGTGAAGTTCATGATTGAATTTTACCTGTGTTGCTCTCTTTTAAAGTAATGACTTTGAGATGCATGCTTTGTATCATATTGAAAAGTATGTTTGATTTTCCTTAAAGTTGTAATGTTATGTGTGAAACTGTACATATTTTAAATGATGTAGCTTTGGCAGGTTTTATTTGGTTGACATGATTTTATATTAAAAGAGAACGCTGCTTTCATATAGCTTAGCCCCTGAAGGCGGGGCTACTCCCTGTTTGTACAACGCTGCTTATAGTTTGTGACTGGGGTGGGCGAATGTCTTCCTCTGAAATTCTTTGGAGCCTCCACCCCTGTCCTCCCCTGAAACTCCCCTGTGCACACCCCTTCTGTTCTGGCTGCAGAGATCCAGGCCCCGAAGGAGCAGGATCTTGGGCAAGTGTTTTAGGGGAGGCTGAGACCCTGCCTGAGCCTGGGGGGCGATGTGGAGGCAGGCCCAGCTCCTCCGGGCAACTTTGCATTTGTTTGGAAGGAAGGGAGGTGGGTAGGAGAGGAGCTTGGAAGGATGAGGAGGAGCGGTCCTGCCTCACACATTGTCTATTTTTACCGTTAACCTAGGGCCACATTGTTATGAACTCCAGTATAGAAATTTAGCCTTGTGAAAAAGTGTTGTTTTACTGCCCTAAGAAGATACACATCTCTAGGCATCTCTGACCAGAAAGCCAACAAAGTCTTTTGCATCGGGTGTGGCCCTTTTGTATTTTATTTCCCGTATTTAAATCAGCCTTCCTTACACCCTAGCCCCAGTGCTGAGAGCTTTGAGGGTAGCTGAAACCCCTTATCTAATAAAGGCTAACTCTGAGAACCACAGAACCATCTTCGGTTTCTCAATTTTCTGTCTCCTTTCAGGCGCCACTTCCCTTGTGCTGGCGGGTCACCCGTTGGCTTTCTTGCCGTTTCTTCTCATCTGTGTCTCCTGCAGAGGCGGCTTGGAGTCCCGAGTCTTCCAGTCAGTTGAACAAGCATTCATTTGTGTTTTCACCCAGATTGCAGACACACACACAAACACACACACACACTTGGAGCTAGTGAGTCATGCTGGCAGCTGACATTGTGACTCTGGAACAGCCCCGGTGTTCTGTGGGCCAGCTCCCCCAGCCTGGGGGCGGGAAGCTACATCCGCAGTACCTCCGCTCTGTATCTTGTGGGCTGGGACTCCTGGAGTCGGGCCACTGCAGCGTCAGTGATGTTCTTAAGCTACGGTTGAGCGAAGGAACACACGCCTACACACCTTGTTTGTCCCCACTGGCCACACCTGGGACCCAGCCATCAGCCTCTCTCTGCGGGAGTTGCAATGGAAATAGCCCTCTGTTGGCATGGACATCAGCTCTGATTTATTTAGGAATTGCTCCATCCAGACTTTGTTCTGGAAGCAGCTAGCTTGCTCATACTTCTGTAGCACCACAGACGGTTCCCAGTACCATGGCTGTCACTTGCCCTCAGACACCCAGTGATCCTTCTCTCCCAATTGTGGGTCCTCCTCCTCGTCCTGCCACCTCTGTCTTCCACAAGCTGGGCCAGGGCTTCTCTTGTAACCATGTCACTTAGGGCCTTGCACCAGTTGGAAAGACTGGCTGTTAAGTGAAAGTGGTAGTTGGTGTCTTAGCTACGTTGGTTTTACGACCAAAGTCTGACAGAAACGCTCTTCCCAAATCCCACCTGCCTTCCCTAAGCCTATCTGCATCTTCCTCTTTGGACCTCATGGTGTTGCAGTCACTGTGATGGTGACATTCACTGGAGCATCCGTGGTTTCTTGTGCAGGATCCAAACCTGGGGTGGTGGTTGGTGTTTCAAGGCCTAGGAAAAGCATATGTGGGCAAAGAACAGAGAGATGCTTTGGGAGTGTCCAGATGTTCCTAGAGCTCAAGAGAGACCAAGCGTCACCCTCAGCACCCAGCAGTGGTCGCCTTGCACACGAGTCGTCTTTTTCTGGATATAGTCGTGCTTACCTGCCTGCACCTCAGCATCTTCTCTGGAGCCCCTCTGTTGGTGCCTTTGCTCCCTGAGAGTGAAGTGGGAGAGTAAAGTTAGTGGCAACTCACTTCCCTCGCTTTCCTTTCCAACTGGAGGAAAGCCCTAGCCCCCAGGATGACGGGTTCCACACTCACATGGGAACAAGCAGTTGACCAAGGCCTGTAGGAAGGAAAAGAAAAGGAACATTACTTGGCCAGCCCAGCAGAGATCCCAGGAGAATGGCCCTCTCTTTCCCAATGGGTCTGTACTTGGGCCTCAGCAACCCAGAAGGGGATGGCCCCAGGTGCCTGAGTTGGGGGTTTGAGCCCTGAATGGCAACATCTAGCACTGGGGAGAGGGTCAGAATTAAGGAAGAGCCTAGATTCTTCTCCCCCGGGAGTGCTGCATCTCTTTTGGATAGCTCAGGGTCTGGCCACCCTGTGGGATCAAGCAGCCCTTCCCTTCCCATTCCCACTCACAGGGGAAAGTCTCTGGGTGCCGGGCAGCATACTGGAACACCAGTAGAGAGGCCACCGTTGCCACCACCATTCCTGTGCCTGCTGCACCCAACACCGCTGGGTAGGCACTGAAGGGGGGGTCCGCTAGGAGGGGAGAGCACAGGTTACATGGTTTCGAGCCACTGCAGAACTTGGGCCACAGTGGCTTGTAGGGAACCACCAGGGTTCTGGAGAAGCGGTGCCCTGCTCATCCAGTTCCCCCTGCAGCTGACATGCGGGACCCAGAGAACCCGGAGATCAGGTCTCTCCCAAGGAACACAGCGCTCTGTCTGCCTAGTGCTGTGGGGTTTGACTCTCCTGCCAAGTCCCGTTTCTGGTGCAGAAGGCAAAAGTCTGGTTATCTTGGCGGCTTGGGGTTGAAGGGAAATATGCCATAAAATAAGGAATTCCCAGGATGGAGAGGGGGCAGCAGGAAGCCGAGAGCCTGCCTGTAGCCCTGGAGGGGAGACTGAGGCACAGAGTGGGCTCCTGTTCTTAGTCACCGGCACCTTTTCCTTCCTCTCTATTCTGATCACATGAATTAGGGTTCCTAACCCTCAGCCTGGAGCCTCCTGAGCCCCCCAGGGAGGGATGGGAAAGAGCCGTGGTGATTATCTGAGGGGAGAGTGGAGAAGAGGACGGGCTGGGGACGGGAGAATTCAGCAGGACGGGAGCAAATGAACAGAGGAGGGGGTGCTCTGTGAAGAGGAAGATGAACCAGGGGCCAGTGCTTTGGAGAAAAGGTGGGTCCCTCCCTGGCATTAGCTGGCACCTGGTATCTTCACCTCAGAGGGATGTCCTGCAGTGTGGTGATTCAGAGCCAGGATGCGGAAGGCATAAAGGACCCCGGGGTCCAAGCCTCCCAGCCGCCGGCCTCGGCTCTCCGGCTCGATGTCACTAGCTGCCGTCTCCCACGCCCCAGCTCCTGGGCCCAGGGCACTGGCCTTCCGCTGCACCAGGAAGCCCGTCAGGTTCCCGGGGCCTGCGATGGCCCATTGAAGCTGCACCTCTCTCCGGTGCCTCCCGTAGGTCAGGCGGCTGATGGTGACGTTGGGAGGAGCTGGATATCCTGGGTGAGGGTGGGGACACAAAGAGGCACATGTATACCTACAACCACGTGAGCTTGTGCCCCCAGATTTGCTCCTGTCGAGAGGCAGCCTGGCTGTGTGGAAAAGGCACTGGATTGGGGTCTGTGGACCTGAGAAGCCCTGTCTTGTCCCATCAGTTTTTTCATGTATAAAGTGAAAGGGAGGTGATGCTGCCTGCATGGCATTCTGTCTGCCATGAGTGTACCAGAGTCACGAACATGTTACCCATCTAGCTCTTGAGTCCTGCCTATGCCCAAGGAAGCTCAAGCGCTCACATTTTGGAGCGGGGAATCCTTGTGCCTTTCCACTTACAGCACTCTGTGGCTGTTGGTCTCCCAGCCCCCACCTCACCACACACACACACTCGACCCCTCACTCACTCAGGACCTCCAGCAGCACGCTCCGACTGCTGTTACCCACGGCATTGCGGGCCACGCATTGGTAGGTGCCCCTGTGGTGTGCTGGGTCAGCATTGTAGATGCCCAGGCGCAGCTGGGCACCCTCAGGGTGCAGCATGAATCCTGAAGTGCCATGGTCCACCTGCTGTTGTTGAGGCCCCAGCCAGAGGAGCTGGGCAGGTGGTGTGCCCCCACGGAGCGAGCACTCCAGCCAGGCCTCTCCCCCCTCCAACACTGACACGCGGGGCTCAGCCACGTCCAGCTGTGGGGCTTCTGCGGGGACAGAGAGGAAGAGGCTGGCTAGTGGGAGGGCCTGGGGACAAGGTGCTGGCCAGCATTGGAAGGGATGGAGAGGAGATGGAGCGGGAGTGCTGCAGAGTTGATAATGAGGCTTGTCTGGGGCCAGTCTGCTTTCTCTTCACGTTCCCATTCTACACCAAGTTCCTGTCGCAGTGTGCTCCAGGGATGGCTGATATAGGATAAAATCAGCAGTGTTCCTCCCTGCTCCTTCTCTGCCCCACCCTAGCCTCAGCTCCTGCAGGCAGGGGCCCTGCCTTACTGGTCTCTGCATGAACAGCCCCTTCCAGCACCTGTCCTCCCTCCCACTAGTGGCCCCCACCTCCTGGCTGGCTCCAGGCGTAGCGCTGGGCCCATAGCAGGCACTCAGATTTTATGGACTGACTTATTAAAGACCCAGACTCTCAGGTGTCAATGAATCTCCTACGATGGAATTTCCGGTCCTGAGACTGAGTAATAGGGAAGGAAATATTTGGGGTTGAGGCCTCCCTAGAGCCCTGAGAACATGCTAGTTACCAAGCCTTTGGAGACCAAGAAGTAAACCATTCTGTGAGAACTGTTGTGTGTGACAGCTTCTCTGTTTGCTTTTCTTACATTTTTTTTTTTACTTTGATATGTAATTCTTTTTTCCTGGTTGCAGTAAATAGACTGGCAGAGCCAGATGAAGACAAGGAGGAACCAGACCAAAACCAGAGTAAGAGAGGTAAAGAACTGACTTTGGAAACATTAATGCAAATCAACAGTATAATCAGGCATCTCTCTTACGCAAATCCATGTAAATGAAGACTATGCAATTGACATTTCCACGTCACCTAGATCAGTGCTATCCAATATTGTAGTGACCAGCCACGTCAATATGGGAACTTGAAATGTGGCCAGGCCAGATTGAGATGTGCAGTAATTGTATATATACCAGATTTTAAAGATAAGATGTCAAATATCTAGTTAATAATTTTTATGATTACATGTTGAAATGATAACATATTGGATATATTGAGTTAACTAAAGTGTTTCACGTGTTTCTTCTCCTTTTTAAATGTGCCTGCTAGAATATTTTAGATCACATATATAGCTCACATTATATTTTTATTATACAACTCTGACCTAGCCTAACCCCCTCATTTTATGGATCAAAGAAAACTTGAGTCCCTGGGAGCTCAGCTCCTACCTACCTCCTAGCTTCTCCGTCCTCACTGACTCGCTTTCCATGCCAGCACAGCCACCCCCCAAGATCTCTTTCTCCTGGTTCCAAAGGGTTGCTCCTCCTGTCCCAGTCCCAGAACAAACTCGCTAGCCCCTACTCACCCAGCTGGAGGTGGCAGTGGGGGTCAGGGGTCCTGAGCAGGTGAGTGCCCCGGCAGGTAAACTCTCTGCCAGCCAGATCTTCCTGGGCCTGCAGGAGGTGAACGGCCATCGAGGAGCTGCTACTGCCCAGGGGCTGCTGCTGTTCGTCAAGCCAGCTCAGCGTGGCGGGGGGCTCGCCGCCAGGCCACTCACAGCTCAGCATGATGAACTGGTGCCCCATTGTGGCTGTGCTCCAGCAGGTGGGCCTCCCGAGAGGCTCCCCTGGAAAGAATGATGGCTCAGCATGGCCCTGTGGAAGGAGGAAGGGCTTGGCACATCCGCCCTATCCCCCTTCCTTCATTTGTTCCTTCACTCCCTCCTTCCTTCATCACTTTGTCACTCACTCATTCACACACTCATCATTTATTGATGGCTGATCATGTGCCAGGGAAATGGTGGGAACAGACATTAAACAATTATTATGATTTAATGTGTGCTAGAATATAGACAGAAAGACAAACTCTCTGGGGCTTCCAGAAAGAGGACAGGATGACCTCTGAGCTCTGTCTTGGCTGATGGCTGGGAGTTTCTCTCTGCACACTTGGCAGAGAGAATGCTGAAGGCAAATTTCAAGCCCAACATGCGTCAGAGCGGTAGAAGGGCAGTGTAGGGGCAATGAGAGGCTGCTGACCCTGAAGGCAGGGACAGTGGGGAGGTGTCAGGGCTCCAAGGCCGAAGTGAGGAGGACAGAGCACAGTGTGGATGGGAAAGATGGGAGATGGGGACTGAGAGCTGAGTGCCGCCCACCTGCTTGTTACGTGGCATGTTTTGGAGCCTGCAGTCTGGAGCGCCACCCAGATCCCAGGCCCTCCGGCTCTCCCCTGACCTCTACCCACACTCTGCCTGGAATGTCAGAGCCCTGGGGTTTCCTGTGTCCACTCACAGAGCGTGACTGTGCAGAGGGCAGGCGGTGCCAGGGCTGGGTGCCGGCCAGTGCAGGTGAAGATGCTGCCACTGGAGAGCTGGGCGGCTGCATGACTCCAGGTGACGTTGCTGGGGGCAGTAGGGCCAGGTCCCTGGGGTCCTTCCCACTGCAGCTGTGCAGGCGGAAGCCCCTCAGGCCAGGCGCAGAGCAGAGTCACAGCCCCGAGGCTGGGATGCACTGCACAGGAGGGCTGTCCCTCAGGGGGATCTGGATGGGGAAGTGAGTGAGGCTGGGGCAGGCTCCACTGCCAGTGCCCTGCAGGCCCCAGGCCAGGCAGGGGGGTCTGGAGGCCAGGGGAGTCAATGGGTAGAGGAGTAGGGAGAAGTGGATCAGGGGAAAGATAGAGTCTCTCTGAGGGGCTGGTGAGGAACAGGCTGAGCTCTCAGGTGAGGGGCAGGAGGTTACCAAGTGTACAGGAGTTTAGAGTCCCCAAGGAATCCCAGAGACCCCATGGAAGACCCCATCTCCCATTCTCATCTTTGCCTCTGGGCACCCAGGAGCCAGCACACCTTGCCTCACTGCCATCGCCCTTCTCTGTGCCTCAGTTCGGTCCACAGGGCCACGGGAATAATCACTTAGTGGCGGGAGGCTAGTAGTGTCGGTAGCTTCCCTGCTTCCCTTCCCCTCCCCATAGTTTTCTTGTCCTCTTTCTCTGCCCTCCAACCCCACTTGGTCAGAGACGTCCCTCCAACAAGAGCAACTTCGGCACGCCTCTCCACGGGGCAGCTGGGTCTGCCTGAGAACAGGCCCACAAAGGCTCCAGCGTGAGTTGTCCCCAGGCCAGGTCTGGGCGTCACCCGACCCCACACTCACAGTAGATGGTGAGCTGGACAGTCGTCTGGGTGCGGGAGTCCAGGTAGCTGTTGTGGGCCAGGCAGGTGTACAGACCCGTGTGGACACGGCCTGCTCTGGCGATGATGTAGGTAGGCCCCGTGTGGACTTGCGTGTGGTCACGGAGCCACACGTAGTGACTAGGCGGGTTGGAGGCGGCCAGGCAACTCAGGGTCACCTCTTCCCTCTCACTGGCCCAGAAGCCCTCCTCAGCGAGTCCCAGTGGCTCCATGGTGATCACAGGCTTGTCAGGACCATCTGGAGAGCAAGGAAGGCCGGTTACACCTCCCCAACGTCATTCCTTCATTCACGCACATGCTCATCTCTGAATGTATGCATCAATCCTGGGGGCATGTAGTATGCTCTGGCCTGTGTCCACCCTGAGGCTAGGCCCTCCTGGAGCTCAGAGTCCAGGGATCATGGGCAAGTCCAGGCTGCTCAGGGCTTATGTGTGGAGGTGAGCGCCCTGGGCTGTGGGCGCTTCCTCGAGGGACTCCTGGGTTGGGCCAAGGTGGGGCAGAAGAGAGGAAGGAGACCAGTGTTCCCCATGCGCCTGAGACTGAGGGGCTCTTGGAAGCAGAGAGGCAGCCACTGTAGACTTCAGGAGTCAGATACCACAGTGGGATGATGCCCTGAGCCGGATCCCAGCAGCCGCCTCCTTTCACTTCCTGGGACTCCACCTTCCCCTCTCTCCTGTGTTCCAAGCTCGGGGTCACCATCTTCGAAGCTCTCCCTGACTCCCAAGGAGTTGTGAATTCTCTGCCTGCTTCTAGTCTGCTCCTGCCTCTTTCTCAAGAACTCTCCTGCTCACCTGCCTCCTCAACAGTCCTCAGTTCACGATTTCCACAAACCGCCACTGTGAAGACCCATCAATAGGACGCTATTGGTCCTTGCTCCTTAAAACGTCTAAGACCAGCACTGTCCAATAGGGGGATGCCAGCCACAGAATTTTTTTTTTAACATTTTCTAGTAGCCAAATCTTAAGTAAAAGTGACCAAACCCAATCAAGCAAAAAACAAAAACCACCAACAGATGTTTTACTATTTAACCAAATATATCCAGAATGTTATTTCAATATATAATCAATATAAAAGTTACGGATGAGGTATTTTACATTCTTTCTTTTGGAATAAATCTTCAAAATCAAGTGTGCCTTCCATGCATACAGCACAGCTCCGTTTGGATTGGCTCCATTTCAAGTGACCGAAGATACACATGCGTGGCTGCCATGTGGGACAGCGAGCTCTAGGCCACCCTGGCCTTCATCTTTCCCCCAGGGCTTCTGATTTCTAACTTCAGGCTTGCTGCCCTCTCCTCCCACTGTGGCCCCACCCCCTGTCTCCTCGGGGTCCCGCTGGTTTCTGAGAGCCCTCCAGGCTCAACCTAAAGGCAGACTTTCCAGGCCGCCAGTGAAATCGCGAGTGAGATTGTAAGCATGAATGTATGCACGTTTTCCTGGAAAAGGGTGTCCCTGACCTTAAAAAGGCTAACAGCCTGGGACTAGAGCTGCACTGGACACCAGGGGCACAGCACCCCGTGACTCTTGCCTGCTGAAGACTTCTAGAGGGCGGAACACTCCCGCAGAGGAGGGATTTGGAGAGTTCTGAGGTGTGGAACCTGAGTGTGGATGGGGAGGTGAGTGTGAGCCCTGACAGCCCCCCCACCACAGTCTGACTCACAAATGACGTCCAGGAAGGCCCCGTCACTGCTCAGCCTGTTCACGGAGTTGCGAGCACTGCACATGTACCAGCCTAGGTGCGTCCGGTTGACCGGGTCCAGCCGGAATAGTGGCTCAGTGACCCCCACCAGGGCCTCTCCAAGGCCTTGGGATGCCTGATGCTGCCAGGCAAAGGTCACAGGCTCTGTGCCCTCCCGCACTGCACACGTGGCCACCACGGAGGCTCCCTCCACAGGGGACGGGTTACTCAGTCGCACTTGAGGCTTAGACACCGGCACTGGCCAGAGGAGGGAGAGGCCCGCCGTGTTATTACAGACCCAGGACACGCCCAGCTGTGTCCGGCACCCCCACCCCTGCTGGCTGGGGACTCACCGGCCCACCCACCCTGACCACCCCGTCCTCATCACCCCGGCTTTCCTCAGTCCCTGGAGTGGGGCGCCCTTTAGAACCTGGACCCCCCCACACACACAGGGAATGGGCAGCACACATGCAGAGACATCCAAAGCAGCCCGCGGACCGGCTGCAGCCGGGGCCAGGCCTCACCCAGCACGGCCAGCGTGACGTGGGAGTAGGCAGTGTGGAGCTGGCCACCAGCCACGTGCAGAACCTGGCATAGGAAGTGGCCGCGGGCACCCTCTCGAAGTTCCCCCAGCACCAGGCTGCCGTTCCTCAGACTCACGACTCCCAGAGCCGAGGCGATGGCCTCCACCTTGGACATGGCTCCATCGGTGACGGCCACAGGCCGGGGAACCAGGGAGCCCAGCGGGGTGAAGCTCCAGAGGACCAGCAGTGGGGCAGGCCCAGAGCCACAGGCCAGCTCCACGGAGCCACCTCGCACTCCCTGGACAGACACCACCTCCTCTGCAGGGGCCTCGGGAGTCGGGTGGGGCTGGCCTGGGGAGAGAAGGGGCATAGCAGGACTTCTGGGCTGCTCTGGGCTCTCCTGCACGCCCTGCCTTGCCTGGAGCCTCTCTTTTTGGTTCTGCAGTCCCGAGCGGCCCAGGCAGTGTTCAGGAAGACCACATAAAAGCTTTTCTGGAGTTGGTGGGCAAGAGACAGTTTCCGCGGGAGCCTCCGGCTGTCCTGCTTGGAGGCACTGAAGGAGGGGTTGACTGAAGTCAGAGAAAGGACTGGAGCAGAGATCCCCACTCCTCATGGGCCACTAGACCATTCAAAAGGCAGATTCGTGGGCATCACCCCAGACTATGGGGTCGGACACCCGCCGCAGTGGGGAGGGGCCAGGGCCCAGGAATCCACATTTGTAACAAGCACCCCAAGATGAGGCTGATGATCAGTCCTGTGATGACGGTGACCCTGGAGATAAGGAGATCTGCATGGCCGCTGGCAGCTTGGGTCTGGAGTTCCCTGTGTAAGGATTCCAGGAGGATCCCTGGGCTCATCCCACCCTGTTCCAGTCGCATTGCAGCAAGGGGAAGAGGACACTGCCCGCATCAGCCCATCCAGCATTCATTCAGCTAAGCATAGAGTGCTGGGGTCACAAGGACAAATGAACCCCCCATCCCTGCTCTCATGGAGCTCCCAGTCCATCAGGGACCAGCCATTAAGTAGTTCCTGTGGAGTAAGTCACTCAACAGGTATTCTTGGCTCAGGGCCCAGCCCTCAACCGCAGCCTAAGCCCAAGTACCATGTTCCCCGCTATCCCCTCACATGCGGTCAGGGTGGGCCTCATGCCATAAAGTGCTGAGGGGCCTCAGCAAATTTGCATGAAAATAAGTGCCTGGGGCCGGGCTCAGTGGCTCACACCTGTAATCCCAGCACTCTGGGAGGCTGAGGTGGGCGGATCACCTGAAGTCAGGAGTTTGAGACCAGCCTGGCCAACATAGCAAAACCCCAGCTCTACTAAAAATACAAAACTTAGCTGGGCACGGTGGCACACACCTGTAATCCCAGCTACTTGGGAGGCTGAGGCTGGAGAATCGCTTGAACCCAGGAGGCAGAGGTTGCAGTGAGCCGAGATCACACCACTGCACTCCAGCCTAGGTGACAGAGCAAGATTCCGTCTCAAAAAAAAAAAAAAAAGAATAAAAATACGTAACCCGGAAACCAATTTCTTCCAACCCCATGGACATTGCTTTGGCCTGAGATGCCAGCATCTCTCACCTGGATTATGGCCATGATCTCCTGATTGCCCTAATCCCCCTCAAAAACCGGCAACTTTCTGAAACCTAGATCTGACCATGCCACTCCTAAGCTTACCACCTCACAGTGGCTCTCAGGATGACTCCAGCTTCTCAAGGTAAAGCAAAGTGCTATCACCTACATGGCACATAGTAGTCACTCAGTGAACGCTAGTTAAATGTCTAGCGGATGAATGACTGAATGGACTTGATGCAATGGCTACACAAGTGCAAAAGGAGGATCCCTCAGGAAGAGGCAGGAATAGTGGGATGGGAGTGGGAAATGAACCCCCGGGGGGATCTGAGTATCACTCACCTGAGGCCCTCAGGTGCAGAAGGCAGAGGCGTATCAGCAGCAGGAGGCTGACCGGGTCGTGCTGGGCCCTCTGACCCACCATGGCCCCATCTCCCCGGTGGCCACCCACCTGAGGCTCCTGCCTGACTTGTAGGCCCCTTCTACCCAGAGCAGAGCCCAGCCCTGGGAGGATGGTGGTCTGGCTCAGGTTGCCAACTTCAGCCCTGCCCATGCCTCCACTCCTGCTCTCCTGTTACCCTCAGTGCCTCGATGACTCGTTAATTATTTACGAGATGATTCACTCCATCCATAATGCAGAGTTGGGGAGGGCAGGACGTGGCTGGGGCAGACCCAGGGGAGAGGACCACCAGCTCCCTGCATTTTCACTCGAAGGATATTGTAAAATTAGAGTCACTGAACAGAGTTGAGAAAGACCCCAAACTCTTCTGGTCCAGTCACCTGCCCAACACAGGACTCCCGAACACAGGGATTGGGAGAATAACACCTTGTTTGTTGTAAAGAGTATATTATGAATATCAAACGACAAGACTTAAATTAGCACACGGGGGGCTTTTGGGGTGCTGAAATGTGCTGTTCGTTGAGTTGAGTGACAGTTACAGTTCCTCAAGTTGTACATGTATTTTTTATGTACTTTACAAATCTTTGGTATAATTCATGCACCCAGATGTGTTTGATATCATTCATGCCTGTCCACGTATGCACTCATGCACACACACGGGTGAACAGCATGCAGTAGGTGCACCATTCATGCTCCTGGCTAGATTTGAAATATCAAGTCTGGACCCCGGAGCTGGACTGGAGCCCAGCATTCCTGCTGTCCAGGACTCTCTGAATGCTCCCTCTCTCTAGCTCTCCGAGCATGTCCTGTTGTCTAGCTGTCTCTGAATGACGGCCCGAGAAGGGGTCAGATTTTTCCATCCTCCGGTGGCAGGGTTAGACGGAGGATGAGATTCCTGAACCCCAGTGAGAAGGGGGATCTGATGTCTGGTTTCAAGTTCTCCAAGGCTCAGCCAAGACAGGAGCTGTCAGACTTGAATTCCAGGTGACTCCTCCAGGGCCCAGAGATGTCACTGTGGCACTCTGGCTTCTCACTTGCCTGGGACAGTGGCTGCATGGACGGAGGCTGTATGGACAGACCCTTATCCCACCCTCACTCGGCCCTTCCATGCCTTCCTCAGGGTCTCGAGTCCCCATTCCCTCCTAACTCAGCTATGGGGCAGAATGGCAGGTGGTCCCTCAGAGTCAGGTTTGACTGCCCCTGGTGACCAGTCCATATGGGCCACTCATTTTAATTCCCCCACTCCCCAAACTGGGAATCTCCTCAGAAGTCCCTTAGAGGTTCCTATGGAAATACAGTGTGGGGATCCGGCAGCACTGTGCAGCTCAGGGTGGCTGGCCCCTGTCTCTGGAGACAACAGGAGAGTTCCAGCCGTGTGAATCAGGGGAGCTTTCAAGGATCCTCTGGCGGTGGCAAGAGCTTGTGCTGATGCAGAGTTAGTCTACAACGGCTGCGTTATCAGCCCCCCAGCCTTTTCTCAGCTGGGGCATCAGGAACATGGAACTCAGGTGGGGCTCCTCAACCTGCCCTTTCCCCTTAGGAAGGGGACCCTCGAAGGGAAAGTCAGGGAGGGAGGGTATATTAGTCAGGGGTCTCCAGAGAAAAAGAACCAAGAGCCTGTATTACATACAGAAAGGGATTTATCATAGGGAATCGGGTCATGTGATTATGGAGGCTGACAAATCCCAAGATCTGCTATCCACAGGCCTGAGATCCAGGGAGAGCTGAGGTTTCGGTTTGAGTCTGAAGGCAGGAAAAGACCGCGGTTCCGGTTCAGGCAGTCAGGCAGGCAGAGTTCCATCTTACTCAGCCTTCTTGTTCTATTCGGGCCCTCACCTGATTGGACGAGGCCCACCCACACTGGCAAGGGCAATGTTCTTTACTGATTCTATCAATTCAAATGTTCATCTCACCCCAGAACACCCTCCCGAAACACCCAGAGTGGTGTTTGAAATGTCTGGGTACCCCGTGACCTAGCCAAGTTGACACACAAAATAGACCATCACAGAGGTGAAGCCTGCCCCCCACCCTGTGCCCTGGCTCTGCCAGACCAGGAACCCCACGGCAGAGCCACAGCCCATGTCTGGAAGAGAAGAGACGTGTCTGGAAGAGAAGAGACGTGTCTGGAAGAGAAGAGACGTGTCTGGAAGAGAAGAGACGTGTCTGGAAGAGAAGAGACGTGTCTGGAAGAGAAGAGACGTGTCTGGAAGAGAAGAGATGTGTCTGGAAGAGAAGAGATGTGTCTGGAAGAGAAGAGATGTGTCTGGAATGGGAAAACAGGCCCAGGGCTCTTGTCCCTGCTGCCTCGGGAGCTGAGGAGCTGGGAGAGACAAGGTGAGCTGGTTCCTTGTTTTGAGAGACAAGAAAGCTCAGTAGTGAGAACACACCTGATCTCTATTACTGCGTGACCTCGGCATCTTACAGAACTTCTCTGAGCTTCAATTTCTTCCTTTATTTAATGGTTTTCCTGAGAGGAACGCATAGGATTATGCATGTATAGCTCCTGCCTGTTAAACTTACTTATACCCCTTAACCGAAGAACGTAAACAATGAATTGAATAAATGTTTCTTGAGCGTCTAAGTTTAAGGCACAGGGATGGGGTCAGATTTTTCCATCCTCTGGTGGCAGGGTTGGAGGCCTGACAAGAGATCCTCTCTTTCCCTCCTTCCTCACTTCCAAAGGAGCTCTAGCCAAGCCGATGTCACCGGGTGCTGTGGTCTGCACTGTGCAAGCCCAGCAGCTGGGCCCTGGAGCAGGTAAAGCTGTGGATTCCCGGGTTCTGGTGCCTGCTTCTCATCGTCCCCTGCTGCTCAGGGCCTGTACTCTCCACCCTCGCTGCGCGGCCTCCATCCCCAGCCTGCCTGGCTCCCCAGGGCCCACAACAGCCAGGAGGGAAGGACAGGCAACTGTGTGGACGAAGGGGCAACCTGGCGTCCCCGGAGTGGCCTCGCAGCTGAACGCAGAAATGAGGGGGTTGTAAGGAGGGACTCGGGACCTAGACTCCAGTAGTGTGAGGTGAAATTTTGCAGGACCAGGCTGAGGTTCCAAAAGGGATGGTGGGACCTTCCTTTGCACACAGGAAGCCCCTCTGCCACCTCCTAGAGAGAAGGCCCTGCAGCTCCTCCTGGGGGACGTCAGGTGGGCGCCGCAGGACCTTGGGTAAGCAACCCGCTCTGTCTGATCTTGTGGCCATCAGCTGTGAAATGAAGATAATAATAATAACTCCCTGTTCAAGTTATTGGACAAATGACATACAACCACCAGTATTAAGCCCCTCCCAAGCACCCAGCATGGCACATAGATACACTGGATCAGTGTTAGCTCTTGCCCTCCTCCTTAAGTTGAATGAAAATCTGCTTCCCTGACACTTCTATCCTTGGGAAATTCTTTCACGGAAGTTTTGTAAAATTACTCAAATCCCACTTTCAGATGAAAGTCATTCACTATTTGAAACTGCGTGTGCAGCTTCTCTTCTCCACCTAAATAAATAATACTAGTTACCATTTGTGGTACACTTATATACACCAGGCATGTGTCAGCGGTTCCCCACAACCCCATGAGAAAGCATTGCTATTCATATTTTATGAATGGGCTCAAATTCTCCATTTTCTTCCCGTGACTTGATTTTCTGTGCCCCAGGTGGCTCCCCATCTTTGGACATTCTCTGGTTTGTCCCCGTCCACTCTGAGACTGTGGCTCACTCAGGGGCCTGTAGAACTGCTAAGTCCCCTCTTTTCTGACAAGAATGCTCGAAGTCTTGCTCAGTTATTTACTGAGCTTCACGTGAATCCCCCCCAGCTAACATTTATCCTGTATCAGGGCATGTTTGCTACACCGCTCCCTTGGGGCCTCCCCTGGCTCCTGAGGACGACTGGGCACACCTGGCTCTTCTGAGAGGAAGCAGTGGCTCCCTGAGTCTCCCTGTGTCTTTGGACGAGGCAGTGGTGCGGCTGGAATAAGCACCAGGTGCCTGCAGCTGCCTCCTCTCCAGGACCCTCCGCTGTGCACGGGCAGCAGCTACACCAGACCATGGGTACTTGGTAAGCTCAGGGACAGATGACGTTTGTCTTGCACCACATCCCTGTGCCTCTGAGCCAACCTACAGGCCTCTCCTTTTGTGCTGTGGGTTTTAAGCCAGCTCTCCGGCCTTGCGACCATTTTGAACCCTGATTCTAAAATCACAGGGCTTTGGCGCAGCGGCACGCGAAAGGACAGGGACAGCTGGGCTGGGGAGGGAAGCAGACGCTTCTGGAGCAAATGGCTTCTCCGCGTGTGCTGTCGGGCCAGCCCAGCCCTCCGGTACCCCAGCAGGAGACCAGTTGAGGGCTGCAGAGGAAATGGGTTAGAGGCTCCACAGGCAATGTGTCCCCGGCTGTGCTCACGGCTGAGGAAAGGAAGGAAGACAACAGGGACAGAGGACAGGCAGGGGCCACTGCCTAGTCACTTTATAAACTGATCCTTAGAGACCAGAGAGGAAATGAAGGAGGCCCTGGATGGAAGGGTTGGGAACAGGAGGTGAACGGATCAGGAGAGGAAGGAAGGGGAGGCAGACACAGGCCGAGGCTCAGGCAGTGACAGTCCTGGGAGAGCACCTGTTGGGGCCGTGGGAAAGGAGGCCTAGTTTCTGGCACCAGCTTTGCCTGGGAACTAACCCTCCTTCCATCTGCTTTCCATTCCGGGGGCCCTTTCTCAACCAACCCTATCTGGGCACATGGAGCAAAACACTCATGTTCTGTTTCCTGACTGGTTAAAAATATGATTGCAATGCCCATCCTGACACTGCTCAGGGCTGTTGTGAGAGCCACATGGTGGATTAGTAAGAGCGTATAAGCCGCTGTTCAGACATGTGAAGAAAGAGGAGAGCTGGAGTCACATCAGGGTTCGGATCTTGGCTCTGTTATCCACTAGCTGAGTGATGATGAACAAGTTGCTCACCCGCTTCAAGTCTTAGTTTTTCCTCCGTGAAATGGGACTAAATGTTTATTAGACAATATTAGAAGCCAGGCATGGTGGCTGTCACCTG